GGGGGTGGACTGGCAGAGTAAAGAGGCGGGGACCAGGTCCCAGAGGATCTGCGCCCGCCCGCAGACCGAGCCCTCTTTTTGGAGCTGGTTTTCGTTCCTTGGTTCGGTGGAGCAGCTTTTACACCCAGAGCATGTTTGTACGTGTGGGACAGAAAGGGAGGTCGGTGACGCAGTGGGCGGCCCCAGGGCGCCAGAACACGCCCACAGCGTCTGGTCCTTGCTGTGGCTCCCGGAGTCCCGGCGGCCCCGCACACTTGAGGAGCAGAAAGTGAGCCCAGCTGCGCCCCTCTGGACTGCCGGCGGTCACAAGGTTCCTAGCCCTCCGCACTCGTCGTCACTGCGGTGTCCTGCACCCTCGTGTTCTTAACAGAAGGGCCGAGACCGTGTACCCCTGCCCCAAGGCAGAGAGGCACTATTGTCTGCTAAACTACCTACACTTAAGAGCCCTTGGCCTAGGGCGTCAACCACTGAGCTTCATTTACCTTGTTGGCTTTTCTGCTAAAAAAAAAAAAAAAAAAGGGCAGCAGATGGCATGTAGGTTAAGCCGGCTGGATCCCAGTCGCCAATCCCGCATGGCCGGCTTCAGGGTTCAAGTCTGGGACCAGTGGTTTGACAGTCATGCTGGGTATGTGCCTGCGTGCCCCCAAAATCCGAGAGGAGACTGGAGAAGGGATTGCACTGTAGCCAAGTTTTTTGCCTTTTTTTTTTGCTTTTTTAAAAATATGTATATAAGGTTTTTTTGCCTTAAGGTGCCTGCTCTGGCCAGAGAGAGACAATAAGAGGGAAAGGGAGAAGTACACACACACATACCCGGCCCAGCTATGCCACAATCCCTTCTTATAATTTCTTTATATTTCCAGAATTAAAGGGAGAGATGTGATTTCTCACACACTCTGGTGAGTGCCTGTATCCTACAACAAATGGGAAGAAAGGGAGTGAGGGAAAACAGGAAGGGAAGGAAGGAGGAAAGAAGGACAGGTAGACAAAGCCCACTGTCTCACACTGGACCCATATTTTTCCAGGAGCTTCCTGAACCTGCCAGGCGCAGCAGTTGATCTACTTTGAGACCCAGCTCAGAAGTACCTCTTGCTCCATAAACACCCATAACACATTGCAGCTCTCTTAGGGTGCTTTACTGGTTTTGCCTAGAAAGCCTTACTCCCCACCTCATTACTGGTCCTTCTGCCCTCCCCCTCATCCGTGGGGATAATTCTAAGCTCCTCCTCAAGAAACTATGGGGGGAACCAGCAGTTAGCGTAATGGCTATGTCGCTGGATTCCCACGTAGTCGACCGCGGTTCGTGTCCCGGACCCGGTGGCTTAAAACTCACGCCGGGCGCGTGTGCGTGCATGCCCAAGATCCCGGGAGGAGAATGGAGGAGAAGGGATTGCGGCGTGACCATCCCCCCTGGGGGGTGATTTCTCGCTTTCTGTCTCTATGTCTCTCTCTGTCTGTCTGGCGAGCGCACGCGCCCTACAGTGAAAATCTCTCCAAAAGAAACTATGGGTAGTACCCAACCCTTAAGGTACTTTCTCCTATGTATACATACATCTTTTGATTTATAAAGTAGGTAAGTAGGAGCTTAGCAGCAATTAGTAAGAAAATGCAACAGTCATAACAAATACTGCATGAATGTAATCTCTGTCTCTCTCAAAGTATTTTGTACTGTACCTACCTTTGTGATAAAGAAGGGCAAAGTGAGACAGCATGAGATTTAAAATTTACAAGTTCTGGGACCAGCCCATGGGGGTGGTGGTTAAGGCACTGGACTCCTAAATGTCTGTGGTGTGAATCCTTGACCTGGTGGCTTGAACCTCATCCCCAATGTGTGTGTGTGTGTGTGTGTGTGTGTGTGCGTGCGCGCGCGTGCACGCCTGTCCAAAAATCCCAGGAGGAGAAGGGATTGAGGTGTGACCACCCCCCCACACACAACCCAGGGGATGATTGTTCACTTTCCCTCTCATTGTCACACTCTGGCAAGGGCATGTACTTTTTTTTTTTTTTTTTTAAAGCTTTTTGCCATAGGGCACTGCACTAGCCAAGACAGAGACAGACAGAAAATGAGAAATCATCCCCCCCACCCTCCCGGGGGATGGCCACGCCACAGTCCCTTTTCCTCCATTCTCCTCTTGGGATCTCAGGCATGCATGCACACGCACCCAGTGTGAGTTTAAGCCACTGGGTCCGGGACTCGAACCACAGTTAACTACATGGGAGTCCAGCTGTTAAGCCAATTGCTGGTCCCTCAAAAACTTTTAAAAGAAAAAACTTCTAAATTCTTTATTTCTGGAATTTTCCATTTAATATTTTGGACCACGAGTAACTGAAACTGTAGAAGCAAACTTGTGGCTGAGAGGTTGGGGAACTACTGTTGTAAAACTGTTTTCCAAAATGGTTCTGTCATTTTAGATTTCCACCAAGAGTGTATGAGAGTTTTTATCCTTTTGTTTTATATTTCTTTGTGTTATTTTAAAAATTATATAACTTTATTTATTAATGTGTTTATTTTTCAATTTGAACAGAGAGAGAAAGTGAGAAAGCAAGCCACCAGGTCCAGGACTCAAACTATGTTCAGCCATGTGGGAGTCCAGCACCTTAACCACCACGTCACCAGCTGGCCCCTTTTATTTAATTTTTTAAAGAGGTTTTTGTTATAGGGTGCGTACGCTTGCCAGAAAGACAGAGAGAGATGGAGAGACAGAAAGTGAGAAATCACCCCCCAGGGGAGATGGCCACGCCGCAGTCCCTTCTCCTCCATTCTCCTCTTGGGATCTTGGGCACATACGCACACGCACCTGGTGTGAGTTTAAGCCACTGGGCCTGAGACTCGAACTGTGGTCGACTACATGGGAGTCCAGTGACATAGCCATTACTCCAACTGCTGGTCTCCCTTTTATTTAATTTTTTTGCTATAGGGAATGTGCACTCACCGGAGAGACAGAGACAGAGGGGGGGAAAGCGAGAAATCATCCCCGCCGCAATCCCTTCTTCTCCTTTCTCTTCTTGGGATCTTGGTTACCCACATACACATGCGTGCGTGCACGCAATCCCGGCATGAGTTTTAAGTCACCAGGTCCAGGACACAAACCACAGTTGACTACATGGAAGTCCAGCCATGTAACCATTATACCATCTTCTGGTCCCTATTTTTATCTTTTTAAAGTAATTATTTAATTTTATTTATTATTAATTGTTTTTTAATTTGCTACAGGGTACATGCTCTCACCAGAGAGAGAGAGAGAGATTGAAAATGAGAAAGCAAGACGCCAGATCCAGGACTCAAACTACAAGTGGAAATCCAGCGCCTTAACCGCCACACCACCTGCTGGCCTTTATTTTTGTTTTTAATGAGAGCACATGCTATGCATGTGAGAGAAAGAAAGAGAAAGAGACACCTTCAGCAGGGTCCATCATTCTATGATCCCCTTCCCTCTGCCCTTTAGCCAGTGAGGATCTTGTCTTACAGCCTGCTCATTTCAGGTAAACTCTGGATCTTTACCTGCAGCCAGCCGTGTTGTTTCCTGCACTGCAGTTCAGTATACCTGCAGCCAGCTGTGTTGTTTCCTGCACTGCGGTTCAGTATGCTACAGCCTGCACCACCGAGGCTGGGCCTGATCAGTCTTTTTATTTGTACTTACTTAGTTGCTTATTTATTTTTTAATTTCACCAGAGAGTACATGTGCTTGCTAGAGAGAGAGAGAGAGAGAGAAAGAGGGAAAGTGAGAAAGCACCCTCCATGGCGGTGGCCATGCCACAGTCCCAGACATGCATGTGCACCCAGCATGTTTTTCAAGCTGTTGGGTCTGGGACTTGAATTGCACAGTTGGCCATGTGGGGTCTAGCCACCTTAGCCCTTGTGCAACCAACCGACCCTGATCGGTCTTTTTCACTCGAGCTGTTCTGGTAGGGATATGATGGTTTCTTGTGTTCTTTATTTTAGATATAGGCTATTATCAGACAATCTATACCTTTTTTCTGCCAGACTGTGGCTTGGATTTTCATTCTCTTAATATCTTTTGAAGGACAGAAGTTTTAATTTCGACAGTGAGTTTGCCAACTGTTTTTTTGGGGTGGTGAGGAGGTAGGAAGGTTGTTGCTATAGAGCACATATGCTCACTGGAAAGACAGAGACAGAGAGACAGAAAGTGAGAAATCACCTCTGAGGGGGGATGGCCATGCGCAATCCCTTCTCCTCCATTTTCTTCTCCAGATCTTGGGCACGCACGCACACGTGCCTGGCATGAGTTTAAGCCACCCTGTCCGAGACTTGAACCGAGGTTGACTACATAGGAGTCCAGTGACATAGCCATCATGCCAATTGCTGGTCCTGCCAACTGGTTTTTCATGGATTGTGTTTGTGATGTTATGTCAAATATTTGCCTGACCCTAGGTCACAAAAGTCTTTTATATTTTCTTTTAGAAGTTCTATAGTTTTTTGTTCTATGTTGAGGTCTATGATCCGTTGTGAATAAATGGTGTATGTGCAGCAAGGAATGGGTTGAGGTTACTGTTTTTGCAAATGAATGTTCATTATTCTAGTTTCATATGTGGAAAAGCTTCTCCTTGCTCTGAGTTGCCCCAACACCTTTGCTGAATATCAGTTGTCCATCTATGCATAGGTCTATTTCTGGGCTCTGTTCTGTTTAATTGATCTACTTGTCTACCTCAATGCTACCACTGTACCATCTGGATACTATAGCTTTATAATCATTCTTGAAATAAGGTAGTATTAGTCCTCCAACTTTGTTCTTCTTTTTCTTTTTCCAATTTCTTTTTTTGTAGTTTTGTTAGGGGGTGCATGTGCTCACTGGAGAGAGATACAGAAAGAGAAAAAGTGAAAAAGGATCCCCCAAGGGGGATGGCCATGCCACAGTCCCTTCTCCATTGCTCCTTTTGGAATTTGGGGCATGCATGCACCCCCATGCAACATGTATTATAAGCCACTGGGTCTGGGAGTCAAACTGCCTAGTCAGCCATGTAGTGGCCTATGTAGTGGGATCCAGCCACCTTCACTGCTACATTATTGACTCGCCCCGTTCTTTTTCAAAGTCCTTTGCATTTCCATATGAATTTTAGAATCTTCTACAAAAAGATGAGAACTTTGAATAAAAATGTCAAACCTAAGCCCAGCTGTGGT